TCAAAGATAAACTACACTATGTAAATCAGCAATCTCCACAATATGACAGTTAGCAACTGCAAGGCCAATGATCATGAACTCAATATGAATTTCAGAATAATTATACAGGGACATCAAATGGTAAGGAATTTATTTCATGTGTCTGGCTTAAGGTCAAAAAGATCTGTTTCAGCCCCACAATTCACTTGAACAACAAAACACAATTCTTCTAGACATTTGTTAAGATTACAAGAACTAGTGGAAACACCACTTAGCATCTGTACTCTTCATATGTCTCTACCAGTGATGAGAGGATTTGTGCCTGGAGAGCCAAATGTGAGTGATATGTTCAGTGCAACATCGGTGTTTCAGCTGAGGTTCAGTTATGCTGTGGGGAAGCACTATTGTGAATGAATGAATGTGTAGAATTTACTGCTGAACCACATATTGTAATCAGTTGTGAGACCTCTTACAGGTGAAAACAGGCCAGACTTTGTACTGATGAAGGATAGTCATTCTGTCATACTATTAACAACAGAGATCATGGACTGGTAGGCAAAAAAGTTCTGATCTAAATTCCAAAGAGCATCTCTGGAACCCCTAAGTGCTGTGAACAGCAATCCCTTTTAACACACCACACTATATCAGAATGCTTAACATTAAAGTGACTGAAAAAAATGACTGACTTCCTCATAATGTTGTTCACAAGAAAAGTTTTGTATTGATAGCAGCATTAATAATAGAAATATGAGCACTTGAAGACACTTGGTAGTTGTTTTTTCACTAGCAAACAGAGACTGCTAATAACATTACTCTTCTCTAAAATGAACTGTAACTGTGTCACAATCAATTATTTCATGTATTAAATACGTACATATCCTATTTATATTTATAAGTCTTGAACCCTGATGTTAAGGGAGGGAAAACATGGGACCTAATGACAGGTGTCATGTAAAAAAGGAAGGAACAATATTGTATGAAAAGAGAACACACCTATGAAAGCATATCCAAAAAGGCAGTTAGGCCAAGTAGATCTTGTAGGAGATGCATTGGAAGACATGGGAAAGTTAGGAAGAAAAAAAACTGTCAAAATCCTCCTTGTCATGAACAGATTCGGACAAAGCAGGAGGAACCCGAACATTATCAGAAGAAAAAGGATGCCTCATATAATGATCAATCTCCTGACGAAGGGTAGCCAAACAATCCTCAGTTGAGACCCCCAAACCTGAACCCAGTAATGGTACTCAAAGTAGTGGCAATAATATCAGAAGTTGTAAAACACAAACTTTGGAATTCATTGTATACCACGAAGAAGTTGAAAATTAGAAAAAAAGAAAAATAAACAAAGGTAAGTTATCACGGCAAACTACTACAGAAAAAACTAACTGTAGCAAATGAATAAATCAAGTAAATCACTACTTTGCAATAAAAATTAAATGAATATGTGAAGAGTACAACTTAAAAACATCTGCACTTCATCACTATGTAACAAGAAGTGATAGTTCGGTATAATCAAATAGAGGGAGTCATGCGTCAGGAGGGTGTGTTGCACTCTTATTGGTGGAGGGTTGTTGCATAATGACTTACATATGAGACTTAGTTGAACCACATTGAATGTGGGGTACATGGGAGTTCAAGGCTTGTGGCACACGAAAAATGAGGTAACGTACCGTATCAGAAATCACGTGACAACAAATCCATAGATTGTAAAGTGAAAAATGTGAAGGAAATAAATATGGTAAAACAAAGTATCTCCAACTAATTCAGCACTATGCTTATTCACAAGTACTAGTTGAGAAAATGAATTGTACATGACTTAAATTTTAAAAACCACAACAAACATCTTTGTAGATTGTATTGTTTCTAACTTATACTGGGTATGGCGACTGTAGTATGCAGGCATACTAAGTATTGTGCTTCTTTTTAGTTTAAACAGGTCTACATTTCTTGTGTGCTAACAAGTATAAAAATTATTACACATATGTGTATCAAAGTAAGAACAGATTTAATAATAGCAAGTTGGCTAAACTGCTGTTGCTCTACTTACATATTGTCCTGGGGTCATTTCCCTTTTGTGTCACAAGTGCTTTCTCAAATGTTTAAGTATATATATATATATATATATCTGGAGTACACTCTATACACATTGGCAGAGATCTTAACCATTCCTCCATATTTTATATCTGGTTGATCTGTCCTCTAATTCTGGTGACAATCTGTCACAGAAAATCATGACAACAAAATAAATAATATTTTGCACTTTGTTTATGATGTGTCATCTTTGTTCTTTTAGTACAGTCAAAGCCAAAGATTCAGAATTACTCTGTGATATAGTTTCTGCCAAACCTACTTTTATTTGCAATCCCTAGTCTTATATTAATGGGAAGCAAGTAAAACAGAGAGTACCACAAAGTAATGCAGTAAAGTAAAATTTTGGTTCTTGTGCAGTCTGAGTTTCAAAATATTCATACTAAAAGAAATGGTATTTCCAAAATTTAAAATAATTACGATCATGAGGAAAAGTTTGTAACTAAGAGTAGACAGTTGTCTCAGTGTGTAGCCAGACTAAGAAAAATTCTCTCCCAAACATCACATTTTCATCAATGCTGATCCCTAGTTTATCAGCTGATTTGTAACGAGGGTGCTCTATACTGCTTATGTTCTACATTACTTATTGAAAACATGAGTTATAATGTAGCACAGCAATAACATCACAACGTTCACCATGATCACAACTTTTTGTCTAAAGAGCGTATATATATATATGTGAGCCACTTTGCTATCTTTATCTGACTGTAGATTAAACACCATGTAAAGTGTAAACCATGGTTATACTCTCAGACCCCTATGTACCCTCTGAGAAGTGCAAATGTACCCCAGGTTGGGAATGTCTGCTCTACATGATAGGAGGTATGCTGCAAAGCTAATATGGGTTGTGAAGAGTGTTGAGGTGATGCAGAGCCTCAAAAATGAGCTTTCCTTAGCAACTTATCATTTTGTCACCTAAGAGGAGTGAGTAAATGTTAGGCATATGCAGTACTCCATGCCCCTAAACATCTAGGATCTCTCAGTCTTGTGTTATACAAGACTACATGGAAGATATAATGGTACTGTCATCAGAGGTCTGTTTGAGAGAGTGGAAGCAGATTTCCTCTTTGAAATTTAAGGGTAAAACCATGGAAGATTTGAACTGCTTCCTGAAGCATTTGAAGCAGGTCATTGCTTGGAATTGACAGGATGTGCAACACTTGATTTAAGATAGGATGGTTCAGCACTTGATTCAATCAAATGTTTGAGCAAGGATCAACTGTACAGATGAAAAGCTGGCCAAAACAGAGAAAACTCCAACAGAAAATTAGTTCTATGTACAAGGAATAGTTCTGGATGTAGCTGTTTCTCTCTGGGTATTTAGACCATGAAGCAAATTTCAACAACCAATTATTTTCTGAGTTGTGTAAAGTTTTGGGTGTGGTGAAGAATCATACTTTGTTCTATCATCCCAATCTGATGATTTAATAGAATAGGTACAAAAATATGAAGTCTATGTAGGTACTTGCAAAGTTTGTTAATAGTGACAAAATTGACTGGAAGGAACACATACTATATGTCATGATAACATCTTGTGCAACTGAACAGTAGTTGAACTGGTTGCTTGCAGAATGTGGTCATGCTTGGTAAGGAAGTATAGCTGTGATGAATGCTTGCCTCATAGAGCAGATGTGTCAAGTGTCTGTAAGAATATGTGGAGTGGTTAAGGCCTGCATTAGTCAATGAATATGAACTACCACATTAAAACTAGGAAAGGGTGCCATATGGCAGAAGTGGTGTTACAATAAAGCAGTAAAGGAACAAATATTTGAGCATGGAGAATGAGTACGGTATGTGCCAGAAGCATGGAAACGACTAAGTTCTGTTTGAACATGCCCTTATCTTATTTTCTGATAACTTGGTCTGTTAAAATATGAGCTTCAATGGTTATAGAGCATATGTTGAAAAGCTTCTTAAATGATACACAACTGATGAATCTCTTGAACATTGGCTAGATCAAGGATTAGAGGTTCAGATCAAAGAGTCACAAGATAGTGATAATACTACTGTGTATCATTTTGCCTCAGCTAATGAGGAGAAAGGTGCTGAGAGTAATTACTTGGTTGTCCAAGAAATGTGAGACAAGGAAGTGCCAGTAGAAGAGCCATGTGACAGCTTTGACTTTTGGCTGAGATATCAATGATGATAAACTAGAGTTAACTGCCTGACAACCAGCAAAGATACCAAGTGTAACACCCTTTTCAAACAGCCAAACAGTATTTTGTAATGTGATGTCTACAGGACACTGTGTTATAGGAGATTGATAATAATATAGTCAATCCTCTCCAGACCAGAGGGGTATTTCTGATATCCCCCAATTTTTTTCCTTTCTCACAAAGAAAATACTTAACCAACATATTCAGCATGAAAACTAGCAAAGAATCAAACATTAAAAGACCAAATATTATTATCAAGCTTATTTATGTACCAGTGTAAACTAATATTGAGAGAAATGAAGATGAAATACTGTATCTTGTGCATTTGCTAAAATATATATTGAAGATACTACCTTGTCAAAGTTATATGCTGTCTTTCCATCACATACAACCAAGTCTTGTCAATGCCATGTCATTGAAGCTCCAACATAAAATGCTCAGTTGACTTTATGAATACAAAGTTTTGCAATCATGTTTGTGAATTGCTAGCAAGAGCAGCATATACCACTGAAACACCAATGAATGTAACCAAAAGTCAATACTGATCACCTGCCTTTTGGTATATACATATTAGAAATTGTACCAGAACTTTAAAATATGGTTAGGTAATGATCAATTATTAAAAACAAAACAAAAACAAACACGTGAGTCTACTTACTTAAGCCTCTGTTACAAAATAACAATAAAAATATGTTAGCCAACAAAAGTTGGGTTAACAGTGTAATATATAAACTTGCAAAATAAATGTTTATAAAGACTGAAATAAAACTAATTTACCTTTCCTGAACCCATAGGGACAGGTTTATTATGCATTGGTGGAGCCCCTAAAGAGTTCATAGCTGGCATATGTTGGTGTCCCATAGTGGCCATTGAAGAACAAGTGTCATCAAATGGGTTACTTGCCACAATTGTATCACCAAACCCACTGATTGGAGGTGGAGGAACCAATTCAGGAAGGGTGGGACTGGCCTAAGAAATACACAAACCATTTTGAGCAATTTAAATAAATTTAGATTATAACAGTTTTAATAAGTTGCCAGTAAGAATACTAACCAAAGCTTTAGAGTCAATTTTTGGAATAAACAGTAGCAAAGGCACAATCTGCCATGTGGTTTCATCCAAAATAACCATTTTTCTGTTTAGAATAAGCAATTAAAGACAAAAAATTTAATATAAAATTAGAAAATATTGGTCATTTTACTGTAAATAATCCTGTTACTGAAAACTTGGAACTAACAAACAAAACTAGTGAAACTTTACAAATAGATATAACTTTAATACACATTTATAAAGAAAATAGTTTGATAATGAAACAGTGAACAGTTGTGCTAGTGATTCTGCAACAAAAAATGAGATGAGTAACAAACGGGAAACAGAAGTAAGAGCCTATAATCATCCAAGATGCATTTTACAAATTATCAAAAATAACAGATGAAAAACCACTCCTAAGGTTATATCTGTGTCTATGATGATAGTTTCAAAGTTATGACTGTTTTATGAGATTTGTAGAAAATATAGTTAATAGCTCCAGATTTGGTTTATCTTCTTTATAATCATGTAGTTAATCTCAAACTGATAGTTGCAAAGTTGTAAATTGAATTTTAAGCATTAACACAACAATTTTTACAGTAGTTATTGAGAGTAATCTCACTTTCTAAGACAAGAAGACTTTTTGGTTATCTACAGTCCAAAGACTAAAATGTAACTTAGAGTGCTATGGCACATACATGCCCCCCTCTAAAGCACTGCCATGGACACATATATGGGGTACACCATATAACAACACTTTCAGTCTTGAAAAGCATAATAGTAAATCATCATATACAAGTCTTTTTGTTTTCCCTTATTTATTTACAAATAAAACTGACAAGAAAACGTTAAAAACTACCATTCATAATTTCAATAGAAAATAAAGTTTTTATTGTAATTCATTTTAAAGAAAAAAATGCATTATTTTACATGTTCTGGAAAGGTTGATACAGGTTCTTAAACTGCAAAAAAATTTAAGTTACATCTTAAACACTGTTCAGATTGTTAAAGAGAATACGATGTATTACTCACATTAAGCATAATCTAAATATACTATTCAATAATAAGATCAAGACTGTATTAATCAAACATTGTTGAAATAATACACAGATGAAAATATTAAAATGACTGCAGTTTATCATAAATCTGGAAACTAAATTTAACAAAATAATATTAACTTTCAGTTATGAGAAATTAAAATTTTCCTACACTGAAAGATTTTTACCTCCTCTCCCACAACAGTTTTTCTCAAATTGTACTGACTTCTATATGTGCAAGTTTTTGCTCGCCACTAGCCTTGAAACTCCCACCTACCCTCATGTGAGACAGCTGCATGATAGCATGCAGCAACCCTCCACCAATAGGAGTCAGACATGGGGTATCCATATTCGAATACAGCTTTTGGGGTATTTGTACTTGTATTCGAATCCTTTGATAGGGAAAATTAAAGTATTCATATTCACTGAATGATTTAGTGAATACTTAATATAGTAAGAGTAAATGTCAACTTTTGTACTCATCCAATTTCTAGACTTTCATTATTACATCTGCAGCAAATTAAATCAGGTCAATACTCTCCAACTGTCTTAAAAGTTATTGTATTACATGGTTATTAATTCAATCTAGTCACTTGAGAGAATTTAAGATGGCTACTACACTGCCTTCAGTGGTATATGTACACTTCATACTTCCTACTGATAGATCTGGTCACATGAAGACAAAGTTTAGATACTGTGAGCAGACTATTTCCATACCAGAAAAAATCACTTCTAACCTGCTGACATATCTGAAGGTAAGCCTTTTTATTATTTTTGTTAATGTGAATTATATTCTATGTAAATTATACAATATAATATTGGTAAACTAAATCTATCATGTGTTAAACTATATTTTTTATTATTTTTATTTATTTAGTATTGTATGTTTTCACTATTTTTATTATAAACTATATACTGTATTACATAACTTAGATATTTATTCATTACGATATATTTATTATTATTATAAACTATATTCTATGTTATATAACTGAGATATGATTTTATATTTCTAGCACAATCATGAGGCAGAACTACAGGAGTATACATCTGGATCTGGTACTTCTGCCCAGGTGCAGCAGCTTACAGTAGCAGCGTACCATACAAAATCAACTAAATATAAGTCTACATACCCTCATCAGAAGCACATCACTAACAAACTCGTCAATTTTATTATCAGTACACAACCCTTCTCAATAGTGGAGTCAAAAGATTTTCAAGATCTAATGGCAGCCATGGATTCTCAGTATATTCTTCCCAGTTGCAAGCATCTGTCCACAATGATGATTGAAAGAAGATTTGATGGAGTCCAACAAAAAGTCATTTCTCTACTGTAACAATGTCACTGTGGATATGTGGAGTAGCAGACAAATGCACAGCTTTCTTGGAGTCACTGGTCATTTTATACTTGACTGGAAAATGCAAACAGTCATGCTGGCATGTCGTCATTTTAAGAGACATCACACATCTGATAACATTGCAGCTCAATATAGTGAAATAATAAATCTTTTTAACATCAACAACAAAGTATCATATGTGACATCTGATAATGAATTCAACATGATCAAGACTTTCTGCTTGCCTGGGCTTGAACTGCAAACACTACCAAGTATGAGAGATGGAAGAATCTAAATCAGCAGACAATTTATTCAAATTTCTTCCTGAACATGACCCTGCTTTTTCCACATGCTACAGATTGTGGTCAGGGATAGCATGAAAGAAGCTAGACCACTGCTGAAAGTAATTTACAAAGCATCAGCTATTGTGCCCTACATTCAAAAATCAAAGCAAGCAACTGATCTACTTGAGGAAGAGGCCAGAGTTCAGTTGGTAACACTAACACTATGGAACTCAGAAATTAAGATGATTAAGTTTTTATTGAAGATTCCCCAGGAGAAGTTGGATAAGATACTGGTACATTGAAACAGATTTGGTGACAATACTGACATCTTTTGAAGATTTCACCCAGGGTCAGAACATTGTTACCTCCAATTATGTAGTGCCATGAGTTTATTGGCTGATAACTAAGATTGACAGCATACAGTCCAGATATAATTTCAATCTTGTCCCTGCACTGAAGAAATATGTTCATGCCCAGCTGACTTAGTATGAGCAATGAAGTGTCTTCTGCTTGGTTGTGGCATTGGACCCCATATTTAAACTTGATTGGTGTTTCACTAAACTTATGGTCTATGAATCCAATTAAATGCTCCTGCAGCAAGAAGTCGAGAAAGTTTCATCAACAAATAATCCTACAACCATGGAACCAAAAGAAGACTGTAAACCCCCCCCCCCTCACAAAAGAAGTAAGCTCTTTAGTTTCTTTGCTGCCTCCAAGAAACCAGCCACTTCATCTTCAGGAATTTGGTATGGTGACAAATTTGATGGGAAGAGACAACAATCATTAGGAGAAAGGGATCAATAAGCCAGGTGAATCAGCTGGCAAATCCAACCTGTAAGCATAATAGAAGAAATATCATGGGAAAGGGAATGGGTTGCAATGAATAAACAAATGGGAACAGAAACCACGGAAGGGAGCAGTGTGAGCCACATAACAGTGGAGAGCCTGGACAGGACATAAGAGGCAATCTGGATCGGAATGAGGATAGAAGTGAGAAATAGAAAGGAGGGAAATAGGAGTGAAGGCAAATTCACCCTCATGTGCAGCCAACGTTTTGGGCAGGAAAGACAGATATGGGTAAAGGATGACATAGGACCAGTGTTATAATTTGCAAGAAACACCTAGAGCGAACAAATCCAAATGTCAACATCCACATGATTAAAAATAATAAGGATAACAAGGATAGCTAATAATGATTCAAAAGAAGACAAATCATAGCACAAAAACAAGAAAATTGAAGATGGGTCAAAGTAAAATACCAAGTGAAAGAACCACCCCCTTTCCAATAACCAAACTTAGGGTCAAAAACTTTAGAAGGGTAAAAGGGGAACATGAACAGAGATAGTTTGAAAAACATCAGCAACACTATATCAGAGGGAAAGGAATAAAAGATTCAAGTACTAAAATCATATCACATGACACAAGCATCCTCAGGTGTAACAGAAATAGGTTCAATATTGAAAATAAAACATACCTGAGAGAAAAAGAAATGATACCAGCAGAAGTGTCATCAAGAATAGGGATAGCACCATATCAGACAAATCCAGCTAGCTCTGAAGGAGATTAGGCTTGAGCAAAAGATCAACTCTCATAAAAAACAAAAACAAATGTCATGTGTTATGCAAACTAAGCATCTACACAATTATCTTGAAATTTGCCAAAAATACTAGTATACAGTGGCACAAATACATTGAACAATCAGAGCTGGCAATGCAGCTACAAGCTTACTTTGCATGTTACAGGTGAATCGTGTAAGCAAAGCTTCCAATTTAGCCATACAAATTCTGATGGTCAAGGTTACAGTTACATCAGAAAGAATATTGTACAAAAATTAACATCACAACTATCAGCAAGAAAATCAAAATTAAAGGTGAAAATGTAAAGCGTATGTAATATCTTCCGATGCTTGCACAATAATTCACATGTAAGATGGGAGAGTGGAGAATTATAGAAAATAACATATACTCTGTAATATCTAAAAGAAATAAGGAAATCTGACTCTCATGCTTTGTTGATAGCACAAGTTCCAACTCAACAAGGAAAGGCTTTCAGTATTTCAGGTATATCAGATTTGAATTTTTTTATATTATTAGCTAATTGTTCATTTAACACCATATTTACTTATCCCTATATTACTTTTTACTCTGTATTTATTTTGTTACAGCTGTTTAGTTGGCTTCACTGGTTAGTCATAAGCTGGAAAAAACCCAACTTCAAATCACAATTAAAATCTCTTGATTTTTATTTTGAATAATTACAGAGCACAAACCATTTCATCAAACAATTTATTCCAAAAAATAAAAAGCTAATATTTGATAGAGATGTAATATTGTCAAGAACAGGTGAACATCTTTTCTGTACTGTTTTCCATCATTTAAAGTTAATCTTCTTTACAGGTCATCTGCAAAAAGCTTAACCATTTTGAAGACATGAATGAAATCAAGTATACATGACAAAGCTATTACCTTGTCTAATTGACATCACGTTACAGGAAAAAATTAGGAAATGAAACTTGCTCAGTTTCTGTTAATTTTTTTACTAAAATAGCAAACGTGCTGGTCACATAAGGCAATAAAGCCCATATTATGACCACTGCAATAAAATTAAAGAGCACAAGTTTAAGATAGGAAAAACTTGTACAGAAATACAATTATGGTACTGTTACTTTCCTCATAGGATGGTTGGCCCATGGAATAGTTTGCCTCAAATGAGGTAGAAGCTGCTACACTGAAGGAGTTTTATAGGATTAGATGAGTATTTTACAGATCACAGTTAGATACGAGTGTTTTTATACATATATATGTAGCATGAAGTAGGGCAGTAAAACAAAATTGGAAAACATATATGGGTCAAATTACCCCTTGTTATCCTATGGAAGTGAAATTCATAAGCACTTCTACTAAATATTTAAATTTTTTTTAATATCTCCTAACTATTTCTTATGTTTCTTACATTTCTTTGTCTTAATGTTCCTGTTTTTAGCATTGATAAATAAGAAAATCTCTGAACACTAATTTTTCTATTTCTGTTGTGTATGACCTATTTTAACTAATATTATACTTTAAACTCATTAAAAAAAATTTAAATTTATCTTTGACTATGAATGATTTACTTGTGTAGAGGGCCCAGTGCTTGAGGATCTTCTTTTTTTCACAGATGGGCTTTCTGGCTCATTACTTCCCTTAAGGTCATTTCCTCCACTATCAACATCACCATCTAACATGAAATAAATGATATTAAAAGTAAATTTTATAAAAACTTATTCAAGTTCCAACTTTTCAATATTACATTAACTATGAAGCATAAATATCTTTTTTTCTTCACCTTACAAATAAATAAATAAAACATTTCATCTCAAGGAACACAGGCATCATTCAATCCTAGAACCAAAATGTTTGTTATAATTCACTATCTATTTTTTATATGTATCTTCATAATGTGTACAAAATTTACAGTAATTCTTTCCTGATCAGACAAAAAAAAAGAAACAAATAAACAAACCAAATATGTTACCCATTAAAACATACTAGTATCAGAACTTACATAACCCTTGAAAACATACTTGTATCAGAACATACCTAACCCTTTAAACATATTAGTATCAGAACATACCTAACCTTTAAAAATATTAGTATGAGAACTTACCTAACCCTTTAAAACATACTAGTATCAAAACATACTGTTACGACAGCGGAAGTCATGTGACGCTGGTACATGTCATGAGATTCTCGAGGGATCTTGTCTTTTCCTGGCAACTCTAGTCTGTTCTAGGCACCCTCTTTTTTGTATATAAGCAAATAAAGTGGATATAAT